ATACAGGTAGTCCTTGACTTACAATAGTTCCTTTAGTGACCATTCAAAGTTACAACAGCACTGAAAAAGTGACATAATTTTTCTCACTTACAACCCTTGCAGCATTCCCATGGTCACATGGTCAACAATCAGATGCTTGGCAACTGGTTCATATTTATGACAGTTGTAGAGTCCTGGGGTCATGTGATTACAACAGACATGATATTCTTCCGATTAAAATCAGAATTCCAATTTTTTTGGGAATCGCCCCCCCCCTTTCCCCCCTTCTTCTCCTCCTTCCCCTCCCCTCGGAGGCCCCGAGTCAGGAGTTGCTACCGCTGGCGCGGCTCTGCGTGGCTCCAGTCCCGCGTTGCCTCAGGAAGGGAAAGGCAAAAAGGAAGAGCTGCGGCGGCGCTTTGCAACGGCAGCAGCGGTTCCTGGTTTTGCCTTTCCCTTCCCGAGGCAACGCGGGACTGGAGCCGCGCGGAGCCATGCCAGTGGTAGCAACTCCTGACAGCCCCAGCCGGATACCTGAGCGGAGCCCGGGCGGTGCGAGCGGAGACCGCTGAGTGGCAGGAAAAGGGAGCTGGGCAGCGATTTCTTAGCGCGCGGTGGGGGGGGCTCTTTTGGCCGGCCCCGATTTTTTTTTCAGAGGGGAATATCATGCCTGTTACAATTTTATTAAAACTAGTACTGTTAATATGCAGATAATCTTTGAATTATGACAGCAAATACCACCAGAATTTCCATCACTAAGTGACGCTGTTGTAAATATAACTGCATCTCTTAGTAGAGCGATTCCTGGTGGGTCATTAAGTGAGGGAAGCATGGCACAAACACAACAAAACTTGGGGAGGGTGTACGAGGGTGCTGATGCCTGGTGGAAAAGGGTGCCTGGGTGACCAAGGAGGTGTGCAAGGAGCACATTGAAGCTCAGGCACAGTGTTGTGTGAGCGCAGTAGGACTTGGGGTGGCTGTTGCCAAATGGGAGAAGGTAAATGAGTGGCTGGGGAGGTGTGGCATAAATGTTGTGTGGCTTGGAGTGGGCCTAATTGATAGGGAAGGTGTGACGTGAGTGCAGCAAGACTTGTGGACTTGTGCAAGGATATGGCTGCCAGGTGGGAGAGAGAATGCAACTATAGCAGTGAGGTGCAGTGCTGAGTGCAGAGCGGTTTGGGAGGGTGTATGAGTGGCTGATGTAATGCGAGTGCAGAGGGGCTAGGGGAGGTGCGTAGGTGGGAAAGAATTACCAGAGCAATTCGTGACCTTCCCTGCTGGTTTCCCATTGATTTTACTAGTGGGAAGCTTGTGGGGAAGTCAAAAAATGCAATCATGTGACCATAGAACAGTGCAACAGTTATAAGTATGAGTTGATTGTCAAATGCCTAGATTTCAGTCATATGACCACATGGCTGGTGTGATTGCTGGAATTTCAAGGATCAGTCATAACTACTACTTGTTCAGTGCCATTGTAACTTTGATTACCCAAGGACTACCTGTATTGCAGAATGAGATTTATTTCCTTTCCTGATTCTAAAAAAAATATTAAATTATAAAATATAATATTTGTTCTCACACAATTTGCTCACCCATGAGTAAATCCATGAGGTGGATTTGCACAGTATACAGTTGTGTCATTTGTGATTCATTGCATGCTTAGAAACAATACAAACGTTGGATACAAAAATTGCAATAAAGGATTATAGAAGTCAATGCTCTGTTGTTGAATAACCAGTGAAATCTTAAATCACTGTGCAAGAACTTCAGCTTCTTGCTAAGAAACTTCTTAGTTATTCTGTTGTATCTAACTTTGGTATAATTGCCAAGAAAATTACACCAGGAGTCAAGGTCAATTTGAAGGAGACCTATCCAACAGAAACACTAGGTGGCTGTATATCATCATCATCATCGTTAATTGCGCAGTCATCAGATGTTCAGACTGGATTTGGCATTTTTGTCTACCTATCGAGTCCTTACCAAGGACCTGGGATAGGCAAATCTGGATGTTTGATGGTGTTACAGATCGCTGCAGGATGAAGCTGTTCCAAGTAAAGCTACCTTCTACAATTGACTGCTGGCAAATTTGTCAATGCCCATGGTGTTCAGGTGGTGCTCCAGTTGTTTTGGGACTGCACCCAAGGTACCTATTGCTATTGGTACTACCCTTGCTTGCTGTTGTTGTTCTATTTCTATTTGTAGGTCTTTGTATTTTGTTATCTCCTCCAGTTCTTTCTCTTCTCTTCTGCTGTCTCCAGGCACTGCCACATCCACTATCCAGACTTTTTTGTCTTTCTTATTGACAAATTATTATTATTGTTGTTTTGTTTTGTTTTATATGTAGCAGTTACATACATAGAAGTTGGCCATTTTGCACATCTACATCTTAGCTAACTGTACACAGACTACTAGCAAGAATTTTATTACTGGGCAATATATAAAATACTTTGATTTGCATTCACGAATATTTATCTGAACATCTTTTCCTATTTGGCTGCCTTGCTACTGTTAGAAGAGTAGGTGCAAAGGAATAAAGCAAGTCCCTGTAAGGATTAAATTCATTGAGGTGTCTATATATTGAAAGAAAATATAGCATATTACTAACTCTCATGTGTATCTTTTACTTAGAATATATGATTAACCAGATGGATGCTCTGTACTGCCATCTGTATATATTGCTATTGTTTGCAGCTGGGAAACAGAATAGTTTTATGGTTATCACCAATGCAGACTGCAGACATTTGCAATAATTTAGCTCTAATCTGTTGGTTGAAGATTTATTGGCCAAGAATTTTAAGTGTCAATATATTTCATCTTCTATCGTTTGAGCAGCAAAACTTTTCATGAACTATCTGCCGCTTTGGATTGTGGTTTTTCATATTTGTTAAAAAATTTCAAAAGCCATTGGTAGTAATGTCTACAGAATAAAAATACCTTGTGCTTACTGAACTGAAAAAGCTATCTTAAATCTCATGCAAATGATTGCCAGATTTTGGTGGCTTTAGGGTAGCCTTTCTTGACCTGGTGTTCTCAAATAGCATTAGAATTATTTTCTTCAAATATTCCAGTTAGCTTTCTGCTTCAGTGACTTTCCAAAATTCTAGATTGTTTTGCTGCCATTCCACTTCATCTGAAGGATCTATCTCAGTTGTGTGATTTTAGCAAACAGTGGACAATTGGAATGTGACCTTCTGAATATCTTGGTTATTTTGGAAATAAAGATTATTTTGATTCTGTCGAGTCTTTCCTTGTAGATGTTTTATTACTTGACTAGATAACGTGAGTGTATTCCACAGGTAAATCCTGAGCTACATATTCTTTCATCTCTATTGGTAGCAAATTGTTAGGCATTTATCAAATCCCTATGACAGAGACTATGGACTAGCCTCTACTTGCTTTACAACTAAAGGTTAAATGATTTAAGATGCAAGATGTGTGAAGGAATTCCTCAAACATTTTATGTGGGTCCTTTATTGTTTGATTGTTTAAGCAGGTTTTAATAGCCTTAGCAAACTTGTTCTTTAATTAATATAGATAGCAGAGGAATGCTACATACTGTATGTTGCTTCCAATACCTTCATTGAATTATAAATTGGTTTGTGGGATATAACTGCATTGAACAAATCTTCATCTAGATAAATCTTATAAATTTGTCTTTTTCTGCAGAATTCTCTCACCCCACATTTTATTACTTTATAATACCTGAGCTGTTGCCCTAGATTAACTCATTGCTGTATAAACAGTGTTTCTTTTTATTTCTGTACAAATATTCCTCCAATACATGAAGTATCAAAACGTATATTAAATAATGAGTGCTAAAAAGATAAATGTAAATTTACACTAGATCTATTCATGTACACGTAGTCCTCAACATGCAGCCATATTTGAGCCTGGAATGATGGTTGTAAATTATGCTGGTTGTTAAATGGGTCACCATGTGATTGTGCCTGATTTCACAATCATTTTTGTGGTCATAGTTAAGCAAATGTGGCAGTAGTTAAGAGAATACACTGTCTCCAATAGGCATTTTTTTCTGGAAACAGAAGTAAACACTGGATTTGCATAACTGCAAACAGCCATAAATGTGGGCCCATTGTTGAGCGCCCAGAATGCAATTATGTGACTGTGGGGAGGAGAGCCAACAGAATTTCAAATCTGGGTCATAAGTAGTCCTGAGGAGGTCCATTGTAACTTCAAACTGTTGCTAAGCAACTGCTCGTAAATTGAGGACTACCTGTACAATTTCCAAATAATCAGAAAGTACTAATTTCACTACATGCTGCTTTGACCAGATCACATCTTGATTACTATATGTCCAATTCTAGGCATTTTCTTTTAAGAAGTGTTCAGAGAATGGCAGTGAGGAGGATCATTGAACTAAAAAAAATCCCTAAATCTTTTGAGGACAGATTAAAATGTTTTGGAAGGTTTAGTATTTAGAAGAGAAGACTGGGAATATACAGGCACTCCTCAAATACTTGAATGTCCTGTACTTCAGGATAAAGAGTAAACATTACAGATAGTTTGTACTGCAGTTGGATATTTGGAAACCTTCCAAACATTAAGAATAGTGATAGTGGAACCAGTTACCAGGGCGATGGTGAGCTCACCTTTGCTTGATATATTAAGCGGAGAGGCTTGGCAACCATCTGTCTTCCATGCTTTTGTTTGAATTCAGACTTTTAGAACTTTCCTATATTTAAAAGGTCATATTCAGTGCATTGTTTCTTTGAGATGGAATCTTCTGGGGGAAAGCTACAATAACATTCAAGTAATTTCAATTAATTAATTTGATAATTTATATGCCATAACATAGCAACTAAATTCAGTGCAGTTTAAAAAGATAATTTAAATTGGGATTTTTTTACAATTATTATAATTATTTTTAACATGTTTGGGAAAAAATATTCTTACACTTTTGTAAATTCCTTAAGATTTTATTTATATTCCTATAGCCTGAACTATGTTTATGTAGTATTTGTATTGCTGTTTTAATGTTTAAATATTTCCATTTTTTTTCATAGAATATTTTAACTGGGACAACTACTTGAAAGAAACTGGGTCTGTAGCTGCCCCTTCACAGTGTTTCAGACAGGTGATAGTTTAAAATATTAAGAACCACTCCTAAAATTAATGTGTTTGTAAACTGTCAAACTGCCTTACTTACAAGTGTAGCATTTAATGTAGTATGCACTTAATGTGGTACATGGTATATTCATGTTAGTAAGAATCATCAATACTAGAAGCATTACTGTTTTCATGTGGTAGGAAATAACAATAACCTTGTTTGATGTATCAAAACACAAAGTAGTACTAAACGCTTGTTGCACTGAGAGATGAATATCATGAAATAAATTTAGATTGCATGTGTTGATTTGTTATTGAAATGTAAAAGGATGCATTTGTATAATTATCAAACTAGTGTGATGTCATCTAGCTCATTTTTAGATGTTCATTCTATGCTCATTCATTAAATTCCCCATGTTGGTCTATCTATATATTTTACTATCTAGAAAACTAAGCTACTATATTGTTAAACCATTGGTTATCTTTCCTTTTGTAGTCTAAGATTCCCCCTAGCAATGATTTCAAAGTGGGTATGAAGTTGGAAGCTCATGACCCCCGGAATGTTACCTCTGTGTGTATAGCTACAGTTATTGGAATCTCAGGTACTAGATTAAGGCTGCGTCTTGATGGAAGTGACAATCAAAATGATTTCTGGAGGCTAGTGGATTCCTCTGATATACAGCAAATTGGAACATGTGAAAAGAAAGGAGGAATGCTTCAGCCTCCTTTAGGTAAGGAAACATAATTCAACAGTTTGATTTACAGGGATCATTTTTTGAAATAGCCAACAATGAAATAGTTATAAGTCAAAAGAAAAAGAATGGATATAATGTTATAAATTGTATTAGGAGTGCTTTGCACTGGTGGTGGATCAACCGTGCTTTGCTTGCACCCCATCTCCATTTTGCCTTTTGTCTTATATCCATTATATATTTATTGGCAAATTAGGATTCCAGATGAATGCATCCTCTTGGCCAATGTTCCTTCTAAGAACCCTAAATGGAGCTGAAATGGCACCTGCTGTATTCTTTAAGAAGGTAAGAAGCTTGGTTGCTGAGAAATCCCTTGTGTTCTATTGTTTCCTGTAGCATAGAAAACCCAAACTATAATTGCAATAGGCAGCAATCTTGCCAACCACTGAATAGAATAACAGAGTTGGAAGGGACCTTGGGGGTCTTCTAGTCCAACCCCCTGCTTAGGCAGATGGTTATCCAATATCTGGATAACTGGCAAGAGCCATATAAACTATAAAAGAAATTCGACTTACGTCACATGTAACAAATTGAAGACAAAATCTCATTTGTGCTGCTGAGCTTATATATGTCATTTGAGAAGCATTTTACAAATCAGAAGTAACATATTAAATACTGTATATGGGAAATATGCCTGATAATTTCTCTTTATGTTTTAACTAGAGAAATCTGAAAGTTCCTATATAAATCCAACTTAATAAATATAGTGAGAGTGAAAAAACATTGCTTTGAGCATGTATATAATCTATAGATACTTTAATTGCTCTTTAAAATATTAAATATGTGTTCATTGTACATACAGTTCTGTCTAAGAATATTTTTCTTACATAGTAAATTCACTGTAAATGTGTAAGAAATGGTTTCCAAACCATTTACTAATTTTAAAAATATAATTTATTTCTTATATAGCCAGTTTATATCTTGCTCCAAGGTCAAGGATAGTCAGTTATGTGTTTTGTACTCTGAATGACAAAGAGGAAACAGAATTTTAGAAATGCCTGTAAATTTATTAAAAAGAAAAAAAATATTGCTGTATTAATGAGAATTTTTTTAACTTTAACAAGCAAAACCTTGTAAGTGGAAGGAATGTAGATTGTTTTTAAGCTTTCAGATTTCTGGGAATTAAGGTATTTGGACTGCTCAGTATTCTCACATTATCTAGAGAAAACAATGCACCAAAGGTACTGAGTATAACTAGGACAGAGGGTATAAGAGATAAAATGTGAAATGGGTAGGTTAAGAGAAAATGCATGAATTAAGATACAAATTGGCACCATGTCCATGTTATCAAATAATGCTTCAAAACCATCAATGGTAAAACTAAAATTGTTAATGTTATATACATTACCTTCAATGTGTGAAATTAGTCATCTTATAGAATGCCTAGGAAATCTATAGAATGCTAAAAATGAAACATTAAAGTATGAAATGCTTAATATTTCACACATTTCCTAGGCATTCCATGGAATGCCAAAAGGAAAACTGGCGAAGTATAAAATACTCCTGCTAAAATGTCATTCTAGCCTTCCTTGTTGCAATAAGTTGTTTAATATTTGTCATTTTCTTTTCTTTTTAGTAAAAAAGTCCTGTACTTTATTTTGCATTTTTCTTTCATTTTCATTTACATCTTTTCAATAAAAAAGGGTTAATCAAGGGTTTGTTAACCCTAACTGTAACTGTAACCTTTTTCATGACTCTTTTTTCATACTTTTTGTGTGATTATGCATAATTCTTGTCAGTCTGTATAATGTCTAGGGCACTGGTGGCTAACCTTTTTGGGCTCATGTGTCAGCACCCAGAAGGCAATGCGTGTGGCTCCCTCTCCACGCCCCCTGCGCATGCACGTGCAATTCCCCCCTGCCAGCCCCTTACCTGCACTGCGTGCCTTCCAGCTGATTTTTGGCCCATTTGAGGCCTTTTTCGGCCTCTCAGAGGCTTGAGGGAAGCCTCTGCAGCCTTTGGAAGCCAAAAAATGGGCCCGTTTCGTCACTTCCGGTGTTTCTGGAAATACAGGAAGTGATGAAACGGGCCTGTTTTTTGGCCTCCAAAGGCTGTAGAGCAGGGGTGGGCAAACTACGGCCCGCGGGCCACATCCGGCCCGTTGGTCTTTTTAATCCGGCCCGCCGAAGATTGGTACAGAATTAAGGTTTGATGTGAATGATTGAATGATTGCATTTATTTGATTTTGACTTGTAATGACAGGCATTTCGACACCAGGTGGCGGCCCGTCTGTCAAATTTTAAGTCAATGAGGCCCCCGAGCCAAAAAGTTTGCCCACCCCTGCTGTAGAGGGTTCCCTCAAGCCTCTGGGAGGCTGAAAAAGGCCTCAAACAGGCCAAAAATCAGCTGGGAGGCGCGCGCATGCACAGTGCAGATAAGTTTGTCTGGGGTTCGCATGCCCACACAAATGGCTCTGTGTGCCACCTGTGGCACACATGCCATAGGTTCGCCATCACGGGCCTAGGGAAACTACAGTGCATTCAGAAAGTATTCAGACCCCCCTTCACTTCGACAATTTTGTTGTGCTTTAGCCTGTTTCTACAGTTGTTGAAATTCATTTTTATTCTCACTAGTCTACACTCAGTACCTCATAATGACAAAGAGGAAACAGAATTTTAGAAATGCCTGTAAATTTATTAAAAAGAAAAAAAATTGAAATATCATATTGGCATAAATATTCAGACCCTTTGCAAAAACACTTGAAATTTAGTTTTGGTGTCTCCTATTTCTCTTGATTATTGCTGACATGTTTCATGTTTCATTAAATTGATTGGACATGATTTGGAAAGGCACACACCATTCTATAGAAGACCTTATAGCTGACAATGCATACTGTAGCAGAGCAAAAGTCAAATGAACTGCCTGCAGAGCTTAGGGACAGGATTATTTCAAGGCACAGATCTTGGGAAGGCTAAAATAGAATTTCTGCTGCATTGAAGGTTCCTAAGAGCACAGTGGCCTCCGTAATTCTCAAATGGAAGAAGTTTGCCAGGAAAGCTGAATGGAGCAAAGTACAGGGATATACTCAATGAAAATCTGTTCCATAGTGCTTAGGATCTCAGACCTGACCGAAGATTCACTTTCCAAATTGACAGTGATTTAAGCATTCAGCCAAGATAACACAGGAATGGCTTAGGGATGACTCTGTGAATGTCCTAGAGTGGCCCAGCCAGAGCCCTGACTTGAACCCTGTTAAACACCTCTGGAGGGATCTGAAAATGGCTGTCCAACAATGGCTGCCATCCAACCTGACTAAGCTTGAGATGATTTGCAAGGAAGAAAGGCAGAAAATCCCCCGATCCAGGTATACAAAGCTTGTTATATCATATCCAAAAAGACTCAAGGCTGTAATTGCTGCCCAAGGTGGTTCAAAAAAGTACTGAGGACACCCCACCAGATGAGGATGTCATTCGGAAAATATTAGATGGTGCAGAGATGGATAGATTGACGTTAAAAATAAAGAAGACACAGAATATTACTTAACATGGGACAGATTTTACGTGTGGTTAGAGATAAGAAGTAGAAATTATATCAAGAAAGATTGTTATGTAAGAATTAAATACAAAGAGGCTTGACAATTATAAACATGTTGATATAATTAATAGAACTATAAATAAGCTAATACAAATAAATTCAGTTAAAATTACTTTGTTATACTATCATTATTGTTACTAGTATATATATTGAGATATCTGTTTTTTCTTTTGCTTCTTTGTAAGTGATATGCCCTGATAATACTCTGTATTCAAAATGTTTATGAATAAAAATAAAACATATACTAAAAAAAAGTACTGAGTGAACAATCTGAACATCCTTGTGGAATTTCAGTTTTTTCTTTTTAATAGAATTACAGGTATTTCTAAAATTCTGTTCTCACTTTGTCTTATGGAGTACTGAGTGTAAATGATATGAATTTCAACAACTGTAAAATCAGGCTACAGCATAACAAAATTGACAAAAATGAAGAGGGTCTGAATACTTTCTGAATGCCAGTATATAGCATATTAAAATAGTAGACATTGCATACGTTCTTCAGTTCAGTCTTTGTTGACAGCAATGGCTGCTGGCCCCCATTTCCTAGTTGTACCATAACAAACTGTAACGATTTACTGCATATTGATTTTACAGTAGATAACATTAAAACGGCACTACGTCACCTAAAGCATCTCTATCTATTGGCTCTAATGGATTATGTGCCTACTTTTTGAAAAAGCTTGCCACTGCCCTAGCTGAACCTCTATGCACAGTCTATGAGGTATCCTTCAGAACCAGCTCCTTGCCCAACCTATGGTTATTAGCCACGGTTATACCTATTTTAAAAAGGGAGACCCTAGTCTAGTAGAATATTACAGCCCAATCTCACTGTGTTGCATCATCTGTAAAGTTATGGAATCAATTATAAACCAATCCAACACCCTCCACTTAGAGACAAACAACCTGCTATCTAACAAGCAGTTTGGTTTTAGAAAAAATTAGTCTGTGGAAGCTATATTGACATAGTCCTGTAATCTGCAATTCCTACACTGTCGAAACATTTGGACTAAACATCTTGAACAGGGTAAAGCAATAAATGCAATTTACATAGACTTCTGTAAAGCCTTTGATTCAGTGGTGCATGACAAACTACTGTTGAAACTAAGTTCTTACGGATCTCCGGAGCCCTGCACAAGTGGATAGCTGCGTTCGTGTCTAACAGGCAACAAATAGTCAAAATAGGGAGGGCCCTATCAAATCTGGCACCGGGTAACAGCGGTGTCCCCCAAGGCACCCACACTCTTTCTGCTTTACATCAATGACCTATGTGATCATATTAAAAGCAGGTGCGTCCTCTTTGCTGATGATGTAAAATTATTTAACACCACTGACAATGCTGCTGCCCTACAAAGTGACCTTGACTATGTCAGAATGCTCGCACATTTGGCAACTACAAATTTCAACTAACAAATTCTCTGTCGTGCACATTGGCAAAAAAAATCAGAACACCAAATACAAGTTGGGCAGAAACGATCTCGTAGACAACCCTCACTTTGTCAAGGACCTAGGAGTACACATCTCAAACGATCTAAGCCCCAGAGCTCATTGTAACAGCATTGCCAAAAAAACATTAAGAGTTGTTAACCTAATCTTACAAACCTTCTCCGGTAACATTGTATTGCTAACTAGGGCATACAAAACCTTTGCCAGACCAATTCTTGAATACAGCTCATCCGTTTGGAATCCACACTGTATATCGGACATTAACACAATTGAGCAGGTCCAGAGGTATTTCACGAGAAGAGTTCTCCACTCCTCTACTCACAATAGAATCCCTTATGCCACCAGGCTTGAAATTCTGGACTTCAACAATCTGGAACTGCACCACCTGTGGTCCTATCGAAGCATAGTACGTAAAATTGTCTGCTACAACGTTTTATCTGTCAACAATTTCTTCAGCTTCAACCAATAATACATGGGCAAACAACCGATACAAACTCAAGGTAAACCGCTTCAAACTCAATTGCAGAAAATACGACTTCAGCAACAGAGTGGTCAATGCCTGCAACGTCCTATCCGACTCCATTGTTACAGCCTCAAACCCTCACAGCTTCAACCTCAATCTGTCTACTGTGGACCTCATCCCATTCCTAAGAGATCTGTAACAGGGTGTGCATAAATGTACCAGTGTGCCTATAGTCTCTGTCTTACTGTCCCCATTTATCTGTACTTACTTCCTTTGTATATGTTTATATCTATACCTGCTATCTTGTACATGTTTGACAAACAAACAAATAAGACATCACACATTCTATAGATTTCCTAGGCATTCTATACAATGCCAGCTTTTCACACATTGGCACTATCACATAAACTTACCTTTATATAAAAAAAGAAACTGTTGATTTAGAAATTAGGCAGATATAACTTAAGTTAATAGAAAATATTAGTTTCTGTTCACTGAATCGGCAACTTAACCAAAAAGATTAAGAAAGAACAAAACTCCTGGTAGTAATTTGTCATGTGAACAACTATTAAACTCCCATTATTCAAGTATCAATGGCTTTCTTACAGTCTCCTGCTAGTTTACAAACACATTATTTTGTATCATGTTAGAGACAGTAAATGACCTAATTATATTTCTGACATTGAAAGATAGATATGACATTGAAAACTTTTGCTTTTCTAATAACTTTTTCATTAATAAAATAATAGAACATTGACAGGTCTCTTTAACAATATCTTTATTTAATACAATCTTCATTGCATTCTCAAAAATGTAAAAAATGTTTATTTTTTTAAAATGCTCATGTAAAAAACTTCAGTGCATATAATTTTTCTTACATTTTGAGAAAAGAATACTTGAGAAATTGATAAGGGTGGGAAAATGTAATACTTTCTAAGCCAGTGTATGTTTTGGAGCATAAATAAGAAAAGTGTCACAATTTGGTTAAGTAAAAGCGTCAAATGCATATATTTGCTTGTTTTCTCTTATTTTGATAGGAACCTCCAAAGCCTTCTCAAAACTTTTTAAAGGTTGGAATGAAGCTGGAAGCAATAGACAGAAAAAATCCTTATTTAATATGTCCTGCAACCATTGGGGATGTGAGAGGAGATGAAGTTTTTATAACCTTTGATGGTTGGCGTGGAGCATTTGACTATTGGTGTAAATATGATTCTCGAGATATTTTTCCAGTTGGATGGTGTGATTTAACAGGGGATGCACTACAGCCACCAGGAAAAAGTGGTAAGACTCTTTGTTAAAATTGTGTGGTTTGTGTTTAACAAGATTGATTTAACTTTTTAGAAAAATATATATTTTTATTAAATTTCTTTTAAATTAAATTTCAAAAAAGAAATTTGATTTAACTTTTAAGGTAACATCTTTATGGTGTATAACAAAAAGGTATTTCTCTGGTTTGATTAAAAAAATCATGTAACCTTTACTTTTGGTGGGGCTTACTATAGAATATGCAGCTTTACATTGTAAGAATTTCTATATTAGTTTAAGTATGCCAGGGATCCATATACATTAATAAATCATCATTTCATTTTTAAAGAAATGGCAAGCACTGAGCTTACCTACTGCCATTCTCTCTCCTCCTCTTTTAGGTATGTATGGGGGAGAGGAAGATTTGTTAGCCCAATTTGTCAATTAACTATATTCAAATGAAATAAAAAAATTGAGCTGCTCAACTATTTATTTGGAATATTTTTTCATGTTATTGAGTACATTATATAAGCACTTTTAAAAGTAAGGGTATTAAAATCAATTGAAGTCAGGCACAAATTCTTAAACACATATTGTAGGCTGTTTAGCAACCAACATTATTAAAAGTCCAAGAAATGGATTAAATGGAGCTATTTGTAAGGCAGACTCAGTGGGGTCTCTTTTCTTTTCCTATCTTTTATATCCAGATAGAATGTTAAGTGACAATAGAAGTAGGTAGCTTATGCTGATTATATTGAATGATCTTAATATAGATCTTAAAGCTGGTACATAAAAATAATATTGCAATATCTGTAGAATTGTTTAGGTATGGACTCCTAAAAAGTTTGGGATCATGTGAGATATGAGTATAATATTCTTTAAGATATAAAGCTAGCTAGTTGAATTAATAAATTAATGAATAAAAGTCACATCAGAACATTAAAATACAGAACCACTGAAAGTCATTTAAAAGGCAATTTTGAAATATAGATTATCTCCTTAGTTAAAACCAAGGGATTGATACATCCTGCTTGATACTATACTTAATTTAAAGATTTATAATTGTGCTATTGAAAATCTGCACTCTTGTGTACCAGTTTAGTGTTTTCTGGAGGCTGCATTAATAGCCTTAGTAATTTCAAGCAATTTCAATTTAAAACTTTTTTTATTTAAGTTGTTCTTTAGGATTGTTGATAATGTATAAACAGAGACTGCTGCATATCCAGACAGTGCACAAATGACCTGATTAAATGATGTCTTAATTGTTTGGTAGCACAGCAAGCAACTAATGTTTTGTTTGCATTGTGGAATTAAAAGGGCCATTGTAATATAAAGAAATGCCCTGAAAAGAACAAAAATGTTTTCTAGCCTTCCACTTCTGCACACACTGTATTAATTTCAAAGAGATGTGTCATTTTTTCTTTGTAATATATTGGCTTTTTACGACACATTCTTTTAAAGTAATCAGGTTGTTATAGGATTTTTAGTTCCTGTTCTTCCCTTGAGGAAAATTTGTCTGAAGATATAGACAAGTTGGTCCCTGAATTTTTTGGCATGTCTTTTCAATGTTTTCTAAATTTCTGACCCCTCCAACATTTACTCTTCTCCTAGAGGCAGAGTGAAGGAAGTAGAACTAGGATTCATGGTCACTGTTAATAGATCTCATAGACCAGGAATGTCAAACTCGATTTCATTGAGGGCTGCATCGGGGTTGTGGTTCACCTCGGAGGTGGCATGGCCAGGTCTATGTTGCTTGTGTTGGGGGATGCCTGTGGTGGCCTGGGCAGAGCTGGGGGGATCCATTGTCTCCAGTGGAGGAAAGCAAGAGCAGGCCGAGCACCTAACCCATGTACACCAGATGAGCCTCGCCATCCCTCTCAGGCCATGCGGAGGGTAAGCGCCCAGTCAGCCCTCAAGCTTACTGAGGGTACTGACTTCCCCAAGGGGGCGTCTGCCTGGGCTTACATCCTCCTCAAAACTACTGCTGCTGTGCTCACTCTCCTTGGCCAGATTGCTCATGGTGTGTGTGGGAGGGCAAAGTTTGTGGGTTAGAGGGAGGCCCACTCCCTCTCCTTGCAAGGAGATCCAGCTTTGTAACCAAAGCACCCTCAGCAATAGGATGGGAGACCACCAGGAGAGGTCAGGACGAGGGGACAAGGGGATGGCAAAAGGTCAGCAGGGCTGCTGATGGCTAAGGCAGAACTTCCCTCAGACCCTCCCTCCCTTTCATTATAATGTTCCTCCCTCCTTCCTTCCTTTTTCCTTCCCTCTTCATTCTCCTTTCTTCTTCTTTCCCCTCTTCTTTTTACTTCCTTGCTCTCTTCCTCTCTTTTCTTCTTTTTCTTTGTCTTTCCTCTTTCCCTTTCTCATTTCCTGTCCCTTGTTGGATGCTCAAATGCAAAAGGGGAAACATTTCTCGATGCCTCCATGCCTTGTGATCAAATGCCACTTTTGCTAGTAGTTTGTGGCCACTTAAAAGACGGAGAACAAACCAGGCTCAGTTTATCCCGTGCTTGCATTTAGTGGGGGCATCCACAGACAACAGTACAGCAAAACTGTTCAAATGATGGCTGTAATAATTGATCACAGCTCCTCCGTTTTTATGTGCAACAGCTTTAGCATTTAGGAAGAGAGGTAAGTTAGTTGCTTTTCTATTAATACATAATCCTTAAAAGGGCTCTCTTGTAGGGACCCTGCCATGGTCTAATTCAGACTGGAAATATAGCAAATGAAGATATTTCTCCCCCCTCTGCTTTGTCCTGTTTCCCCCACTAGAAATAGCTGTTTGCAACACTCAAGGAGGCAATACTCTCCTAAGAGCTCACAATTCAAGAATACTAATGTTAACTTGGAAACTGTGACAAAACAGAACACAAAATTGCTTCCTCCTTTGAGCCCAAGGCTCAATGGATCCAGGATTGACACAGAACTGTGTGAACTGGGGCATCCCCAACCAAGTTGCCTCTCCTTCCTTCCTCCCTCTTTCCCTCCCTTCCTACTTCCCTGCCTCCCTCCTCATTTCCATCTCCCTCCCTCCCTTCTTTGATTCTCATTCCCGTTTCTTTCCTTCCTCTGTGCTCAGGAAGGAATGAGGGGAAGGGGAGAGATTGGCAGTCCTGGGCGCATGCACAAATAAAATTCAGCATGCAATTCACACCCACCCACAGCCACTCCGGCCACACTTTGGAGCCGACCTGAACTCAGGGCCAAAAACCTCAAGCAAGAAGCGAGTTGCAGCTTCTTCAGGAGCCAAGCAAACTCCTTTGGTCAAAAAGTCTTATTTTGGGGTCGGGGGCGAAACGTGAGGAAGAAGTGGTGGGAGAGAAATCATCACTTGACAGTTGAAGACTCCAAAATCTTACAACCTGTTCTCCTGCCCACTTTTTGTTTAAAAAAAATTACCGGTTTGCCACCAGTTTTCCTCTTCCCCAGCTGCGTATTCCAATTCCCTCCCCAAATACATCAGTATACAGACACCCCTTTCCACAAGAGATTTCCTTCCTCTTCCCCAATTTCAATTTCCTCCCCCAGCCCCCCCCCAAATGATTGAACTTGGGATGAAAAACATCAAAAGTTGCCAAGAGACCCAGAAGAAGCTGTGGCAAATTAAAAAAAAGAAGAAACAAAAACAAATCCCTGTTTGTTTGCTCACCCCTTCCATCTATGAACCACAAATGAATGGGAGCTGCCCTGTTCTCTGCATATTTCCAGTCTGTTCCCCCCCCCCCCCCCCCGGCCACCTTGGGAGGCTTGCATGGCTTTCTTCCCCAACCCCCTGGAAAAATAAAATAAAACTACATTCCAGCACTCCCCCCCTTCTCTCTGCCAAATTCCAGCAGCAATTAGCCTGTACTCATTGCCAGCCATGAATCTCTAGCACCCACCATTCAAAGATCTGGGAATTAAAAACGTACACGCACGTACATGCCAGAACTTGGAAAGAACTTGGAGAAGGAGGAAGAACGGCCATCTGAACAGGCACATGGTTGGCCTTAGATCTGACCTGCATGGACCCCTAGAGCTAGTGAGAGACCACCCTGCTGCCTCAGCCCCTGCCCCCTGTGCATGCACACAGGAGGTGGTAAGTACACGTCACCCTGTGGGATAAGACGGTCCCCGGGGATGCCAGGCTCCATGCACGCCCACCACCTCCTTTGCACATGCTGAGGGGACTGGATGGGGGCAGCCCCATGGATCTAAGGCCGATTGCATTCCAGCCCAGATGGCCACCACCAGGTTGTAGATCAGCGCCTGGTCGATCTGGGCTGGGCTGAGGCACCACAGGCCTGTCCTTTGTTGTTTCTAGGGCAGCTCCTCAGGCCAGATATAACCACATCGCAGGCCATATCTGGCCCACAGGTCTTGAGTTTGACACCACTGCCGTAGACAATATGTAAATTGCTTTAACAGTTTCCATTCCACTTTGTTCCCCTACTTTTTTTACTCTTAAATCAACAAATGCAAATATATATATGGAAAAAGAAATATTTATATGGCATTTTAGGAGACTTAATTTATTATATCTGTACGTTAAGAACAGCAGCAACCCCAGAAGGGAAATCAAATGCAAATATGTGTATGTAAAAGTTTGAAACATGTCTTTCTATACCTTTGACATTGAAAATTGTTTCCTTTGTGTTTTGAAATTTGTTGGTCTAACATCTTTTGACATTTTAGAATAATCCAGCTAGTAATATTCTGACAGTAACCCACACAACTTTAGAGTATATAACTTTTAACAATTGGTATTTATTTACCAGATACGTTATAAAGAAATCACTCTTACAGTATTTTAAACAGATTTATTGTTTTGTTCTTGAGATGTATTTGTGTGCATCTACCTAGTGTAATAATTTCTTGTACGTTTGCTGTATTGGTTTTTCTGACACGATAACCACTTTTAAAACCGATAGAACTATTAAGGGTTATGTTTATTCACTTTGCTTATTATGTACTTCTTGTCCCTGCATATTTTGTATTCTTATCTGTACTTATTTTATAAATATTGCAGACTATCAAGCAAAATGGATTATTATCATTTATTGTTAATCATTTTTTAATTTGTCAAAACTAATGTCAAATTATATAAGGTGATTATATAGGGTTAAGTTTTGCTTGAGTGAACTTTATAGATCCTACCAATAAATACCAATATGAAATATTTCTTTTTCTTACTTTTAAATAAAAAGAAACATATCAAACAGTAACTTAAGTGTAAAATGCATGCTGATAATTAATTAGATAAGGAATAAAGGAAACATATTTAGAAATTCATAATCTTATCATTGTTTATTTCTATGTGTTTAATTCCTTAAATACCTGCTAATCTCATTGCATCACTTTTTGACAAAATAAATTGCTAATGTTAGGCTTTCTTCCAGACAGGAAATGTTATGGACATAGAAAACTATCCTCCTTCTTCCACAGTTTCTCTTGATCCAATCAGATTCATTTCACTTAGTTGAAGTAAAAAAACTCAAAATCTTAAACACTAGTTACATCTTTAAAGTAATGTGTAGTTTGGCCTTAAGTTCTCCTATAATCCAGTTATATCCCAACTGGAGTTCCCAGGGATGGAAGTTGGGAAAAGACCCAGGCCTGTAGTTGTGCCTCCAGAAAGTGTTATGTACAGAAATAAGATTTTCTTAACATAGAAACAAAGGTGCACTGGCAAATTTCTGGATAAGAAAGCAGGCTTCCTTATCTTGCAGAAAAGTTAGTCTATCTTATTTTTAACTTATCTATTTATTTAACTTACCTTGCAGAAAAGTTAGTCTAAAATTAATTCATGATTGATTGTAAACCTCTTTTAAAGTATTGCTGAATTAAAAAAAAATATCTGAGGATCCTGTTGGTTGGATATTGCTTTAACAATCCATGAAGACGGTCCATGTGTTTTTCCACAGTTTCTAGCACAAAAAATAATACCAAAGCACAGACCTCTCCTTCCAAAGGAACTCGAAGCTCAATGCACTCTTCACCGAAATCAGCTTCACCTGTTCCAACTGCCAAAGGCAGGAAACTCACTCGGGCTCCATCCACCGTCCTTAGCAAAGTCCCATCTCCTAAAAATATTCCGGTAGTCAAAAACATTTCTCACAAAGAAAACCTCAAAAAAAGGAAAAAGGATTTAAATCCAGGAAGAAAAGTTAGTATAAATTTTTTATCATAGATGTGATGGTCTATTTTGTTGATTAATAAATTGCATTCTCCTGCCCCATGTGTGAAAGTTTCTTTACCAAATCTATTTTACCTAGGTTTATTTATTATTTTTTGAAAGCTGTTTCCAAAGTGTTCTATTGCTGTGCAAATGTGGAATATAATCTGAAAGTTACCGATTTTATTATTTTAATGTGTAAACAGCATTAGCATATTTACTTGGTCTTAAATTGCCAAGGTTTAAAATCCGTGTTCCTGAGTTACCAATTTGTCTTAACCTGAAAGTGACTGCCCTCCCAAAAAAGGCTTCACATTTTCTTTGCTTCCTTGTTTCTTTAATGCAGATAAGTTCAACTGGATCAATTTTATACTACATTTCTCTTTCTCTCCATGTGTATGACTACACACACACAAACACACACAATCTTTTAATTTAGTGGAACTTCCTTTCAGTGGGAGTTATTTAAAGAAAATGGGAATAGAATAGTGGCCCCATAGATCAGCATGTTTCTATAAGTGGTCAAAGGGACATTTACTATATTTATACACTCTAGTTTTAAAAATTTGCTGAGGCAGATATTTATAACAGTTGACTAAATCTGCCAAAGATGTTTATTTCAATATAGGACTGGTTGTCGTTTTATGTGATGCCTAGCTTCTGAAAGCTCTCATCTGGTTGCTAGTTCTAGCTGAGATCATGTTTTTGCCTCTTCTGGAGAATCTCAGATCAGGAATAAACTGTAAATCTACAGCAATTTTATGCTCGTTTGACAGCATTCAATAATTCACTGTATCAGAATTTTTGTCAATTGATATTGACCTAAATATGATGTGACTATTTTGCAAAAATATTTTTAATAAAATAAAATATATTATTTTTCAACAGAAAAAAAACGTAACAATGCAACCTCCCGCCTTTTTTCCTCCTATTTCTGAAAAAGTCGATAATAGCTCTCCGATATATGGAGAGGCACCTGCTATCACTGGAACATCTGTAGCCGTTATTTCAACAGGTAAATTTACCTATTTAAAAAAAATCTCACGGGGACAAATTCTGATGATTCTCAATTTACTCTAAGGTACTACAGTGTTTTAGAGGTGCAAAAACAAGTCTGAAAGTAGCTATGAGGCTTTGCACTGGATACACATTCCAATTTTACATCAATTTGGAAAATATAGAATATGTGTTATCAATTTTTAAAGCAATATTTTATTCAAGTGCCAATGTATATTAAACATTATACTATATATGGTGTTAAACGGAACTCAAGTTGTGCGTCTTTGGAAATCTGTTAGTTTCTTCTGTGGCATTCTTTTCTTTTCTTTTTTTATTTAAGTTTTATTAATTTTCTACTATTACATTTAATTAGTGCTTAATAAACATTGTGTTGTCTGGGTTGTTTTATTTGCTTAACAATACAAATTATATTCCTAATCTTTACCCCTTTTTTCCAGCCATTGATAAAATCCATGTTTGATAGTATTCTGTATCTTCTTTCTGTTTGATCTTCAATGTAAATCTGTCCATTTCTGCACAGTCCAATATCTTCTTAATTATCTCTTCATCTAGTGGTATTTCTTCATTTTTCCAATGCTGAACAAATACAATCCTCACTTCTCTTAATACATGCAATATTACATATATTACACTTTGTTTATCATTTTTTTCTGAACAAAAAAGTTCAGGTTTAAGATCTATATGTTTTCCTGACATCTTTTCTAACCACATGCGTATTTTTGCCCGAAATGTTTTTTGCTTTAACACAAGTCCACCACAAATGGTAATATGTGCCAGATTTTTGGGTACATTTCCAACATTTACTAGACATATTTTTGAACATTTTGGCTAACCTGGTGGGTGGTAGGTGCCATCTATAAAACATTTTATATAAGTTTTCTTTATAAGAAGTTGCCATTTTTAACTTATAATTTCTTTCGCATATATTTTACTGTTTCTCTAGTTCTAGATATCTGTTTTCAAATTTCATAGAAAGTTATATAGTTTCTTAATAAGTTTTTCATTGGAGTTCAACAATATCTGATCGAAGATTGTCTGTTCTTTATAAAAGCCATACATTTTAGCATCTTTATCATATCTAGATTGTAATTGCAGTTCAGGCCACCATGATAACTCAAAACTCTGGTCTTAGAGCTCTTGTTTAGATTTTAGTTTCCCGTCAGTATTCAAAATACCTTTTTATATGTCAAAATTTTCTCAAATTTCACCAGAAATTGTGAAATTTGGATGAATAAACGCTTCCATCATTGAGAGCCATCCTTGGATTCTCAAACAGGTTTTAGCTTTTGTTTTTTTTTCCCATACAGAGAATAATGAATTTCTTACATAGAGATTTTGGAAATATCTGTGGCTTTTATTTTTCACATACCATAAAAATGCATGCCATCCAAGTTGTAAGTCATGTCCTTCTAAATATAGCAATCTTTTGTATCTAAGGGTTATCCATTCTTGTTAGAATACATGCTTGATAGTTTAAAAACCAATCTGTAGTCCAAATCCTCCATTTACTTTGGATTCTTGTAACATTTTCAGTTGAATTCTAGCTTTTTTTCCTTGCCAAACAAATTTCAAAATCAGTGTGTTCAGATCATTAAAGAATTTATTCTCAATTTTTATAGGTACTGTTTGGAACAGAGCAGTTTTGGTAAAATACTCATGTTCACAATTTTTTCCTAATATTGATAGGTTTGATAATATTGATAGTATTGATAGATATTGTAAGTTTTTCCATTTTCCAGATCCTGTTTTATTTGGTTAAATAATTTTGTATGGTTATCTTCTTTTATTGCACATCTTGCTGTTAAGTATATTCCCAAATATTTAACTTTCTTGACTATTTGAAAGTCCACTTTTTCTGACAATTGTTCTTTTTGTTTCTGTGTAAGGTTTTTTAACTATAATTTTAGTTTTTTCTCTGTTTATCTTCAAACCTGCTACTTCTCCAAACTCCTCGATCCTTTTCAATAGTTTAGGACAAGAGTCTTCACACATGGCAAGTTTAAGACTTGTGGACTTAAACTCCCAGTATTCTTGAGCTAACATGACTGGAGGATGAATTCTGGGAGTTGAAGTCCACAAGTCTTAAAGCTGTCAAGTTTGAAGATCCCTGGTTTAGGAATTGTCTCCAGCTGTTCTTCTATGATAAATACCAAGTCATCTGCAAGTGTTTGTAATTTATATCTTTCATCTTTTATCTCCATGCCTTTAATTTCTGGATCTTGTCTGATGTTCAAGACTTCCAAGGTCAATATAAATAATAAAGGCGATAATGGACATACTTGTGCCTTGCTTTATATTAAAATTCTGTGTATAGTCCCCATTTACATTGATTATATTAATAAAATTTTCTCCAAAATCCATACAGTTTAATTGTTGTATCATAAATTGCCAGCTTACATTATCAAAAGCTTTTTGAGCATCTAAAAAAATTAGTATCATTTGTTTTCCTGGGTACATTTCATAGTATTCTAATGTATCTAGTATAATCCTGAAATTCTGTCTTTTTGGTAAGAATCCAATTTGATCTGTATCCAGTCAAAAATCTTTCAATCTCTGCTATTATTGAGGCAAAATTTTTGTAATCCACATTCAATAGTGATATTGGTTTATAATTTTTTATCTGTGTCAAATCTGAATCCTCTTTTGGTATTACGGTAATATTGGTTTCTGTCCATGTATTTGGTAGTTTAGCCTCTGATAATAACTCATTGCAAACTTCCTTCATTGGAGAGCTTAGCGTATCTAGAAAGCATTTATAGAATTCTTCAGGAAGCCCATCTGGACTTGGAGTTTTATCATTTTGGGGGCTTTTTTACAGCTATCAGTTCCCTCATTGTTATTTTTCCATTTATATCTTTTCAGAGTTCTCTAGGATTTTGGGTAGGTTGGCTTTTTCCATATATTGTGTTATTTCTTTTCCTATATCATATAATGTTTCATAATATTCTTTAACTATTTTTTTATTATCTCATTTTGAAATTGTACACATCCCTGTTCATCTTGGAGTTCATTTATCAAGTTTTTCTCTTTTTCTTTTTTCAGTTTATATGCCAGCCATCCGGCGTAGTCTCTTTCTTCCTTTTTTTTTCCAATTTTGCCACTGTTATAATCTAATTTATCATTGACAATTGCATTAAAATCTCCTACGAGACAAATATTTTGATATTCCATTTCCAGTATTTTCCTGTGCAATGTGTGATAAAAAAATGTTTATTATTTGGTGCATATATTGTTATTATCCATATCTTTTTTGATTTACCATCAAAATTCTTCCTTCTTCATCTATGTAGACCTGTTTGGAGTCTACTGTCTTTTTAATATATAGCGCTATCCTTTTCTTTTGTGCTGATGTAAAATACAGGTTCCCAATTTTGGGGTATTCCAGAGGTTTATATTGTTTTTTTATTTGTGTTTCTTGCAAACAGATTATATCTGTTTTTAATTTTCATAATCATGTAAAGATTTTCCTCCTTTTTGCGGGGGGATTAAGTCCATTTATATTCCTTGAGAGAATTCAATTTTCTTTCTCCATCTTATTTACTTGTATTTGGGTTTTTGTTTCCTAGTAATTCTTTTCTGTCTTTGTTCTCTTATTAGCCCCTTTCCTCCTTGATTTGTATTTTCTTCTTCTTTGCTTTGTGCTACTGTCTCTTCTGTTGTTATTTCTTTGTGCTTGTTAAGTTCTTCATCTGCTTGTGTATGTTGTACTTCTTCAAAAAAAATTGTATGACTCATAAAATTCTGCTGCCTTAAGAGTGGAGTTCAATCTATATCTTCTACAATTCCAACTAATTAGGATCCTTTATGGGACTAGCCATCTAAAATTTATTCCTTTTTCATTTAATTTTGAGATCAAGAATTGATATTGTATTTGTAAATCTCTTATATTCCAGGGGATTGTTTTAAGACCACAATCTCCCTTTTTCTATGTTGCAATATTTGCACTCTTCAATATTTCATCCCTTATTGTTCTTTTCACAAATTTAACATGTACCTCCCTAGGCACTCTGTGTCTTTTTAAATAGCTTGAATTGATTCTATATATTTGATTGAGCTTTTTTCCATCTCTTCTTTTACAATTTCCAGTGCTTCTGCCAACAAATTTGTGACCAATTCTGTCAGATCCTCCTTCTTGTCTTCATGTATATTCTGGAGTCCTAATAAATATGAAGCTTTCTTCATCTCCAATATTGCTACTGTGTCTTCAAAATTCTTATTTGCTCCATTTATTTCCTCCATCTTCTTCTCAGTTTCTTCTGATTTATCCTCCATTTTCTGGATTCTTTGTTCATTCTTTGCAATCATTTGTTGGTATTTTTCTAGCTGAGAATTTATATTAAAAACCTCATTTATCTTATCTATTTTTTCTTCTAGTTTATGCTGGTTATTTTTTGTCTCATGATTTCTTCTTGCATCTTTTTTATGTGAAGCAATTGCTTCTTGGATCGTCTGTAGTGTTGTCTGCATTTCCTTTTAGAAGTTTTTGGATTTTTCTTGTTGAAGCTATAGATCTCTGATGTATAGGGCTAGGAGCTCCAGATGGGGGTGCTGAGAATGGCTTTTTAATAATGTTAGCAAGATTTGGTACACTCATTTTTGTCCCCACCCTCCAGTTACTCTATTATCGAGCTAGTATATTCCCAGAAAAACTGGCCTTGTCTCGTATAACAAATCTTGTTCAATACATCAATAGACAGTTTGAATACAACATTAAATATAGTTCTTATGAACTTTCATTTTATCTATAGCCTTTATAATCCAGTATGTTCCAATATTTAACTTCATCAGATAGAAGTTATAATCAGCTCTATCAGTCAACACCAAGTCTAAAAGAATAGTTGTAAAACCCGTCATAGCATATCTACGATCTAAGATTGCAGTTCAATCGATGTTTATAATCCAAAGTAGCCAGTTGGCCTTAGTCCAGTCAATACATCTCACCAGATAAATCACAAAATTTCTTCTGCCTCCAACTAATTCTTACAGGTTCTGAATTATAAATCGATCAATTTTTGTAATCCAAAGTAGCCAGGCTTTAATCCAGTTGATAATCCCCACCGATCAGGAAGCTGCAAAAAATCTTCTCTGTCGCCAGCTGTTCCATGCTGGTCTGGGATTTCCCCATCTACAAGGAGATCAGGAATGCTAATCAGATATATATGTCTGGGCTCCAAGCCAATCCCTTATCTTAGACACAACAAATTTCAACAGTTCTTTCTTCTGTCTGCCACTGGGTGTCATTTCTCTCAATTAAATCTTCAGAGACCAGATCCAAAACACGATGATAACAATCTATTAATTGGCATATAAACAGGACAGACAGCTTTCTTCCCTGGTTGTCAATGGTTTCAGGTTGCCAACATGAATGTGGTTTGCCTTTCTCCTGCTGGTTTGGAGGGTTTTCCCCAGGTCAAACAAGCCAATCACCATCCGATTGTGAAGAACGGGTTCCCATCTTTATTGTCACCTCTATGGGGCAACTTTCAGCCCCTTAGGGCTCCCTGGCAAAATGAAACTGATTGTGGGGAGCAGAGCTCCGTGTTCCCTCGACTGTACAACCACAATATCAACCGGAATTTTTTTTCTTCTGTAGCATTATTTTCTGTTTCACTGAGGATCAGCAGATAGTATCAAATAATAACAGACAAATAATGCTATTTTCCTCCAAATTTATTTAGTGTACTGATAATAATTTATTTTTTCACAGCTATTTTCTTGTTTTCTAAATTTCTGTGCAACTACTAAGTGACTTTTCTTTTTTTCTTTTACTCTATTACATGTTTAAATGTTCCTTCCAATTTCTATAACCTTGCTTTCAAATTTCCCTTTTCTTTTTTTATCCCCATTGATTGTATTTCATGGCTATGTGTATACTTTTATTATCCTTGTCTGTGTATCATCTTTGTTAAGCAATCTTTTTATCTTTCTATTTTAATCTACCCAGAGCAGAAAGAATTTTTTTCCCTACTGTTAATCGTGTTTGGCATCTTTGGTTCTTTTTTAGTCCAGCTATTTAGTTGTTTTGCTTTAAATTGTAAACAATTTCTTTTAAGATTCTGTGCTGTGAATGCATTCAATGTAATTTTGACAAAATATTTGCATATTCCCTATAAGGTTTTGGAAGTCAAACCTTTGGGGAGGGATGAGGGGAGCAGATGTTTAATAAAGGAGAACAAAATAAAGACTGATAGTTTAGATTGAAGGGATTCTATTTTCTCTTTAATTCTGGAAAATGTAGCAAAAAACAGGATTGAAAGTGTAATAAATGTGAACATGTACTCAAGGTTGATATTGTGGTTCATCTGAATGTACCATGTAAGCAAAATTTTAGGATTCCAGTTCCTTTTGGTGTTAAAAGGCAAAGCAAGAATTTCCTGGGTAAGAAATATAGTAGACAGAGATGAGTTTTATTTGTTCATTTGTCAGAACCTAAATTTTATGCCACTGAGATGCCTTTAAGAATGTAGATAAAGATGAATTTTACATTGTGTTTTGTTCTGTCTTTTAGTTTGTGTCTATGTTAACAAGAACGGAAATTCTGGGCCTCATCTTGATAAAAAGAAAATTCAGCAGCTTCCTGATCACTTTGGACCAGGTCCTGTGAATGTAGTACTTCAGCAGGCTGTCCAAGCTTGTGTCGATTGTGCCTATCAATCAAAAATTGTCTTTGGATTCCTCAGGCCTGGGCATCATGCTGGAGAGATTATTACTGGTACATTATTTTATATGATTTATATTTAGACTTCAACTTTGTGTATATATTGCATTTGTGAACAACAAATCAACTCTGGCTTATATTCTGCTAAGAATGTATATGGAGATTCTCACTCATCCAGGCCATGGTTGTCCCAAAGGTGCATTTTTAAAGGCAACTTTCTTTGTTTTTCCTTAAAGATGTTTTTCTTCTCATCCAAGAAGCTTCTTAGATGTGAACTGAAGAAGCTTATTATATGAGAACTGAAATGTCTTCAAGGAAAAACAAAGAAAGTCTAGTTGCCTTTTGAAAAAGCACCTTTGGGATTCTGCTAAGAATGAATACTTTCATTTCAGTGATCCCTTTAGGTTTGTGAGTCATGATTATTTGGCTAATGGGGCCCAATTTAATATTATAGGAAGTTTTTTATTTTCGGTTGGCTTTATCCTTTTGTACAAAGAGGTGAAAACAAACGAGTTTTTTTTCACCAGCACAATGTTGACATGCAGAATAAGCCAAATTTCTGGCCTATTGTTAATTGTATATGCAATACAATTAGTCAGTGATTCTTGTAAACCAGGGGTGTCAAACTCAAAACTCAAGTGCTTAGATGGGGCCAGTGGGGCCCCCCTGGAATCAAAAAAGGATTGGCCCAAGGGGTCTCTGCCAGCTAAAACAGAGCTTGTGAGGGCCGCCTGTTTTTGCTGGCAGAGGGTTGCAGGAGGCTATTACAGTTGAAAACAAAAGCTCGCAAGGGCTGCACGCAGGAGGCCATCTGGCAGAGGGTTGCAGGAGGCTGTTGCAGGCAGCCCTCCTGAGCTCCGTTTTCACTGGCAGAGAGTTGCAGGAGGCCATCACAGCCGAAAAAAGAGCTCAGGAGCCTGTTTTTGCTGGCAGAGCGTTTGGGCCACCACAGGTGCCCCCGACATGAGTGATGTTGAGCTGGCCACACCCACCCTGGCCCCCCAAGGTCAAACACAACCCTGATGTGGCCCTCAATGAAATCAAGTTTGACCCCCCTGTTGTAAACTAACCACAATCAGTATTTACTATATACATACATATTAATGCCAAATGAGACCGTTTTCTGTGGCCATTTAAGCTGTCACACCTTATATCTAGCATTATTAAATTTAATCTTCTAGAAGACACATTGATTTCAAATTAATGTTTAATATCATGACAGTGGAAAAAGAGTTCTCAGTTTGGTCATTGTGCTTTTCCTGGCTGGAAACCAATTGCCCATCCATTCCCAAATATAAAACGAATAATTCAGATTTGCAGTACTGGCCCTAGGGCAGTAGAAATGGGCTGGTGCTCCTAATCATTCCTAATAGCCCAAAGGAACATATATTTTCAGAGAGATAGGGAGGAGCCCTGTGAACTCTTTGCATTTGAATAGTATTACATTCTTGAAAATTAATAGCTTTTTAAAATGTGCTTTTCAAACTTGGCAAAACAAATGCACATTGATTAGCATAGATACTGCAAATAGTCCAAAACCTCTTGGTAGAGAAAAAGTACAAACATTGCTGCCTTCTTTTTATTCCTAGGATTAATTAAAAGGGAGATAGCTTCTGTTAGATACTGGTGGTATTTCATTGTATATAATAATATTGGTTATTTTTTAAAATCTTTTTATTGACAGCCTCTTTTGATGAGGAAAAACATGCCATCAATCTTCCTTCTGTGAATAGTGCATCTTTTGTTCTGCGTTTCTTGGAGAAACTTTGCCACAGCCTGCAGTGTGATAATCTTTTCAGTAGCCAGCCCTTTAGTCCTTACATGGGAAATGCACATAGTCCCATTGAACATGATAGAAACAAGTCAGGTAATGTTCTGATTGCTTTAGTTCCTTTCTTTGTCATAGCTCTTGTGTATTTTAGCATTGATGGTTTATATTTAGAAACAAAACAAGCAAGAGACAAAATAGTAGAATAATCATTTTGAATTATAGTGCACAGTGATTTAGTAAGAATTTTCAAAAGTAGATAGTTTTGCTTTTTTCTACATGTGTAATTACAAGTTCTAAAGTTTTAAGGTATACTTTAACTTACAGGACATGCTTATGTAACTTTTTGACAACATTCAGAAGCTTTTTTCAGGGACTTCTATTTCCCAGGGTATTCTGCAGACATGATATTTAATAGTCTGATGTCCAAATACCAAGGAGGATTGACCCTACTTAACGTCTGAGCCCTCTCCCCCCCCAGAGGTCAGCCATTGTTGCTATTCACTGTAGAATTAAAAGTAAGGTATACTGAAAACCACTACAAATCCAATCCATATTCAAAGAGGAAAGTGAGATTCAGAATATGCATGTTATAGCTATTGGCACATTTTAAAATAAAATACGCTTTCCTCAGAGGCCCAGAAAAATGCATCTTCCTTAAAAAGTTGCTGACACTTGTAGTGTGAGTTCTACATACAGAAATACTTTTTCTACATTGAGTCCAGATTGCTGGATAGCATTAGTATGGATATGCAACGGCTATGATAAGAAAATAGTATGATAAATTCTTTAGTTTACAATTGCCTGTTGAAATCTGTAAATCTGAAATAAGTATCTGTAGATCTTTGTGTTTTAATGCTCAGCTTACATAGCCCTGATTTCACATTGCTTACTTGCTTATAGTCGGTCACATGAGTGCAATGCTGGTTTCTAGCTTTACCATATATGCTATAATGACTGAACAGCCACTAGCATTATGGCCATCAACCAAGGATTTAGTCTGTTTCAATTGATATAGTCAAAACTAGGACAGTTAAAGACTTACCACCAGCTTCGTAGCAAGATTTAACAGCTTGGAAGCTGACTTGTCTTGCCCAATGGAAAGAGACTGTATTTTTCATTCTATACATACCTGGACCATAAGACCCACCTAGGTTTTGAGGAGGAAAAGACAAAAAAATATATGATATGGAGCGCCATTTCACTGTGAATATGGGGTGCCAAATATGGAGCAGCAGTGTAGTGAGGGCAGGAGAGGACCACAGATAGGTGTCTTCTCATGTGCCAGCTCTGCCTATTCACTCCTGCACTGAGGAAAAGAGACAGAAGAGGTGGGGTTCAGCACAGTAAAAGGGCCCCGTAGCCGTGGCCCGGCTGCTATTCATCATATTCGCTCCATAAAGCGCACAGACATTTTCACCCACTTTTGGAGGGAAAAAATAGTGTCTTATGAAGCGAAAAATACAGAATTTCATTTCTTTTGAACATTAATGGTGATTTTTTTAATTATCTAACCTGAAGTGGAAAAAACCGTAAAGGTGGTTTTAGCATGAAACAACATTTGTAGGAAATTTAGTGGAAGAAATTAGTGCATCTGTTTCTAACTTATGCTTTAGAAATTTTGATTATTAGGGTACATAATCCTTTTATTCTTCACCAAAATGGAACAAAAGATATAGGAAAGATAAACACTATTGTGATGGGATGTACTACACATAAATCAGTGCAGAGGGTTTCTGCTTTTGAGTATACCACATGCTTCTTCACAGCTTTTCCACCACAATTCCAGTGATCCTTTGGCAGTTCAATTTGACTGAGATGCCAACCTTGTGTGAAAATAGCAGAAATTCAGAAAGAAATCTGTTTACTGTAATGGGTCACTGAATCTATGCATAAAGAAAAGGACGGTTATATCTCTATTATTCATCACCCACCCAAGTCACATTGATTAGGATGACGATTGCAAGGATCATTCATTGAGGACAGGGCGGTTACTGTTTATTAAGATATGAGGTGCCCAAAATAACTATTTTATACTTGAATTATATATGGGGTTCTAAAAGTCAGATCTCGTAGATACTTTATTATATAACCTATGTTAACATATTTACTTCTAAATACATTCTTACTTGTTTCATGCATGACCTTTAAATATTCCTAAGCACAGTAATATTCTCTGAAAAAATATTAATATTGTGATTGGCCTATGGAGCCTGACTTTTGGTATCCCCGTATATTAGAATTCTGATTTAGAAACTGGATGAATTGGTTTTGTCCTGTTTCAGGTGAATTAATAGAATAGAATTCTTTATTGGCCAAGTGTGATTGGACACACAAAGAATTTGTCTTTGGTGCATATGCTCTCAGTGTACATAAAGAATCATAAGATACAACACTTTCATCAAGAATCATAAGATACAACACTTAGTCATGGGTTACTAATAAGCAATCAAATCATACTAGGAAACAAAACAATATAAATTGTAAAGATACAAGCAACACGATTAAAAACCACAATGTACTGCATTTGGATCAGGATTCATATGGACTACAGCCTTAAGTATATTGTTAAATGTTCATCCCTATCCAGACAGTTACAGCCTCCAGGCACATGGACAGGACTGCAACAACACCATCTGTTGGCCAGAAGTAGAAATGTATGGCTGGGTATCATCGGCGTAGTGATAATACCATAGCCCTTGTGATTGGATTAATTTACCCAGTGGTTTTGCATACATATTAGAGAGGATAGGGGAGAAACCAGAACCTTGAGGCATCCCCCACACCACACACAAACTGTAGGGGCTCAGAGCTTGATCTCTCCATGACCAGCAACACTGACAGGACTAGCCACAGAGAAAGAGGAGAATCACCACAAAACAATACCTCCTGGATCTAGTGCAGAAGGATACCATGGTTGATGGTATCGAAAGCTGCTGAGAGATCCAAGAGAGCAGGTCAACTGCACTACCCCAATTCCAAGCTCTCCAAAGGTAATCAGCAAGCATAACAATGCTGTCTCGGTGTTGTACTTGGTTTTAACCCAGACTGAAAAAGAGTCCAGATAACCCTTTTCATTTAGTGATCTCTGAAGCTGAGTCCCAACCACCTTTCAACAACTTTCTACAGAAATAGTAAGTTGAAGGCTTAACACTGCTGGATCTAAGTATGGCCTCTTGAGAAGAGGGCACATCATTGCCTCCTTCAATGCAAGTAGTACCACCACTGCTATATAAAGGCATTAGCCTCTTTGGAGCCAGCCACATGCTTCCTCCTGGGATGCCTTAGCTTAACTAATCAGGAGAGCATGGGTCCAGATGGCCAAGTTCACAACTACCAGGACTCTGTCCACTTCCTCAGGATCAATCACATCAAACTCTCCCAGATAACGGGTCAGACATGTCTCTTATTGAATGTTAATGTCATGATGTATTTTGTACATTAATTTAGAGCTATACTTTCCCATTTATACTTTTCACCACCACTTTTTTTTCTATAACCTAATAGAATAGACAAATCTCTTCTCCCTCAATGGAAGGGATGCAAAAGCTTGTTCACTCTGAGGACTACATTTGAGTAGGATTCAAGCTATTAGGTCATGCCAAGACAGAAATAGACCATCTTCCTACTTATTTTATAATCATTGAAAATTGTAATTGAATGGTAACATGTAGAGTTAGGGGTTTACCAGAGACTTTCACGGATTTTATATTGTCCTGTAATTATGTGCTTTTCTATTTAATATACAAATAATAGGCTTTGAAAAAATTGTAGCTTGCAAAAGTTAGGGAATAAAGAAGTAGAGAAAAAGTAAATATGCCCAAAATTATTTCTCTTTCCCCATTCTTGAAAGTTGACATATACTTAACACCAGCATGTTCACAAAAAAGGGGGCAAGGTGGTTAAGTATGATGTTTTAATTCTTTTCTATTTTGTCATTGACCAATGACCAAATCTTGTATATTAAATATATAAAATAGGCAATAATTAAAGCATCCCTATTTAACCACCTTTCCCCCCTTAAACAGATTAAGGTGAAAACATTAATTTCAGTTCATTCATTTGTTGTGTGCTTCTGATTCAATTCTCATTTATGGAAAATGCCCACTTTTTGTATAAGTGATATATTTATTTCTCATCTCAAGGTATTTATGATTTATCACTTGTATATTATGATTAATGGTTGTAACTATTTGGTATGATATATGACCTATCATTTTGTTGTTTGTATGTACACTGAGAGCTTATGCACTGGAGACAAATTTCTTCAATCACACTTGGCTAATAAAGAATTCTGATTTCTAATTTTCTAATTTCATAATTAAATTACTCTTTGGGAATGCTTTGAACTAAATACTACAGAAAAATACATGGACAGAAGGAATTGCATCACAATTAAAGGTCCATATGCATTTTTCATGGAAAGGTTAATGAGGCAGGTACTATTAATTAAGGTGGCCCATCACCCATCCATATTCCAAATCTCTCTCTATAGAGAAGCTTTCCTGAATCTGTTGTGACTGCTACACTGGCAAATATTGTTGTATCTAGTGATTCTAAACTATTTCTGAATTTGCTACCATAGAAATTTGAAATCTTTGTAAAGTGGATCTTTAAGTGTATGTACATTTGAATTATTGCATCCATTTATAACTCCTTAATTCCTTTTGAACATAAAGCAAAAGAACAAATATTAAACAGCAGAAGTGCAAAGCGATATTCTCAGGATTCACCCCCCTATCCTGTCCCCCTGTCTCCTAAGCTTCTAAGAACTGAAGCTCACCCATCTGAAGGTAAACTGAATTTTAATTATCTTCACTTACAGTAAGAATAAACAATCTTTTCATTCTAGGGCCTGGATGTGCTGCATCTTCTTGCTAAGGGTCATTGATTGCTATGTTGTCAATGGGCATAGTGAAATTGAAATGTTTGGATCAGTTTGTGGAATGGCAAGGGCTGAAAGTTGTCCATCAAGTCTTGCAGAGATTTATGTTATATGTTTTGTCCCATAATCCCATAATGCTATTTCCAGAAAACAGCCCTCCCCCCACTTGTTTGGTTTTCTTTTAAAGAGAAGCTAAAATTTTGCAAGACTTAAGGTATACAATGGACCAAAATATATTCCTGCCATAAATGTTATAATGTAGAACATTTATAAAGACAGTCAATAACATTTAACTACAGTTCTGGGCATCCCATGCAGAATCCACACACTCAAAATTTTACAAGCAGTCAAGTCTTCCATACACTCAGAAGAATTTAGTCCCATAGAATTTACTCTTATTTTTTCATGGAAATTTCAGGTCTTGTCAGTCAGATTAGAATTAAATATTTCTAAATTCTGGAATGCCTAAACAGTAAAATGAGTTCAATCTTTCCAAACAAAAACAACAAGGGATGAGAGAAGGAAGCTCTTCTGAAGTATCAAATTGGAAATTGATGATTTGAAGATTACTGAGAGATCTATATCCAGACAGTATGTCAAAGGAAATTAGCAGCCTTTCCTTATTAGGAGAAAGGGTATCACTCAACATGTTGTAAGAATTGATATGTGCTTGTTTCAGGCTGTGCAAATTCCCTCCCTGTAGATGTGTCTTAATAATGGAAATGGATAAGTTGGAATAAAGCATCTCATGGAAGAATAGAGAAAGACATTATGCTTTAATAAATATCAGAGATGTACCTGAGACCCAAAGCATTCTTTCCAAATCATTTTTGAAGTTGGCAAACTATTTGTCTTTCCCTATATTGAGAACTAACAAATTACTATTTTAGGAGTAAACACGTGTCATGGTTGACTCACTACGCAGCCCTGCTCACAACCAGACAACAATAACAGGAGGGGAGAAGGAAAGCATTGGAATGTAAGGGAGGCTTGGGAGGGAAATTTGGAATGCAAGTGTCCTGATTGGAAGGCTGAGACAGACCCAACACCCCAAAGTCACCGGTTGGGAATATCTGAGGCAGACAGTCTGTTCCCCAAACAAAGCAAATGTGAATGAATGGTGGATAATGGACAGTGGGAAGTCGAGTGGGAAAAGGGAAAAGGCCCAGGAGTTTCTTTTGCTCTCTAACCCAGTGGGACAGTTGATATTAAACCAGTTCTCATAGAAATGGCCTACCTGGATCCCACCAGGAGGTCAACCCCAAAATGTTAGCTACGGGCAAAGACTCGGAAGAGAAGAAGTTGGACGAGGCCTTGGCTTGGGAAGACTGGCACCACCTCAAGCAAGAGCAGGAGTGCAACTAGCCAGCATGCGCCCAAAACCAAAGAGAAGTTCAAGCAACCAGCAGCAGCCATTAAGGAGCAAGTAAGGAATATCCTGTACCAGGGGCTGAAGACAACAAACATGAGCAAAGAGGCTGGGCAATGAATGTGGGCAAGGCAGTGGAGGCCGAAGACTCTCTTCTCTCTTCCGGGGTCAACAGGGTCCAAGGCGGCAAGTGGATGGCAATGCTACTAGCCAAATGGGATTGACCCCACTGAGTGGAAGCTCCTGACCACCAGCAATAACCCATTCATGGAACAGTTGAGAGAGAAGTTTGGAGAGATAGAAATTTGTGCTACAGCAATGCCAGGAGCCATGATCATCACCAGTGGGCCAGGAGTCATGAAAATCTAGGCAGTCCTGGCTATTCCTTTTCCTATACTTCAGTTGGTGGCACCGGCGGTTGTAGTTGCAGCCAGAGCCTCAACACAGGTGGCAGCAGCAGTGGGATTTGCAATTCCTCTGTTTGCAGCCAGCAGCACCAGTGGTCCCAGCTGTGGTTGGGGGCCCAGCACAAGCAACCATGACTGGAATCTCAGAACTGGTGGCAACAGATGGTATTCCACCCCAGGGATTCATCCTGGCACAGGAGGAGTGCCAGTCACTCCCCCTGGTGGACAATTTCAATGGATGCCCAAACTGCCTAGACCATTTCCTGACTTAAGCCTGACACCACATGGAACGTTATGGAACAATATACCCAGACAATATGGCCCAGGTCCATGTCATTGCAGTCAATCTGGAAGAGAATGCTTCGGAGTGGTTGGTGTCACTGCATGATGAATGCCCCAGAGCTGGATGACCTCAATGCCTTCATGCAAGCCCTGTGAGAGCAGTTCGAAAACTCTGTGGCAGCCTGGTATGGAAGCCCACATCCATGCACTGAAGGAGGGGAAGCGGCTAGTAATGGAGTACATTCAAGATTTCTGCAGCCTGTCAAGCCACTTAGGAGACTGGCCTGAATGCTTACTGGTCTACCATTTCCTGCAGAGATTGGACAAACAACTGTACCGGAATTCCGTACTCTGGGGAGGTGCCATGCAACCTGCAGGTGTGGTACCGTGTGGCCACCAAGGTAGAGATTGACCTGATGGAGTTCCATGAACATATTGAGCTAGAGAGTCAGTTTCACTGCCCCATGGAGAAGCAAGTGGCTCCTAGAGGGGGAAAAGAGTGCACTTCCAGCCAGAGGAGAGATACCCCGCCAGAACCTTGGTGGCTGCTTTTGCTGCGGAAAGGAGGAGTACCAAGCTGCCATGTGTCTCATGCCATTGTTGATGACTGCTCCCCTGCCTCCAAGCCAACCAAAGGAGAGAAAAAACCCACTGAATCAAGGGAAAAAAGTCATGAAGGGCAGCAAGTCATAGAGTTCTCTCCTCCGTCCAGCAAGGAGGCGGGAGCTCAGACTCCTGCCAAGATGGGGCCAGTCTTCTGTGAGATTGACAGTGAGAGAAATGGTAAATGGCCCCATTGTCCCTATGACTGCTAGGGTGGAGATTTCAGTGTCCTCCTTGGGAAATTTGGAATGCAAATGTGCTGAGTGGAAGCCTGAGACAACACCCCAAGGTGACCTGTTGGGAACGTGGGATGCAGACAGACCATTCCCAAAACAAAGCAAGTGCAAATGATTGGTGGCAATGGACAATGGGAGATCCAGGGGGGAAAGTGAAGGTTTTCCTATGCTGCTTGGAATGACATCATTAGAACTGGCTTTTCTACTTCTGTACCCATACGGAATCTTCATTAAAGTTATACTCTCAGTAAAAAATGTCCCAGGAGTTTCTTTTGCTGTCTAGCCCAGTGAGATAGTTGACACACAGGATTCTTCTTTGTTGCACACAGCATGCAAAAATGCCTTTTCTAAACTTTGGCTTCAGCATGACAATCCATACTTATTTCTTCACCTTTTAGACAGCTCACTATCAATGTCAAACAATTTGATAAGATGGATCAGTTTCTTTTGTGTTTCTCTTTCAGAATTTCTCTTTTTCCCTTTCCCCCCAAAATCAGTCTTTCTGATTCAAATGACATAGAGTGGGGAGTAAAATTGGATAGTTAGTAATACTATGTTCCTTGCAGAGTTGTTAACCTATTCACCTTGGTAAAGTTTTGTTAAATAGGTAATGTTTATATTAAAGCAAACTTTTCAATGAAATATTTATAGTAGTATAAATATTTATATAGTAGTATATTTATATTTATTATTAATAATCTAGTTGTGTTAAATTCTGTATAGCAGAGACCCTGCCAAGTGAAGAAACATCCAAAGAGCACAGGTTTGCTGAGAATTCAATGGATTCTGCACTTAATTCAGTCATCCTGTCAAGTCCTAACAATCAGATTTCCACTGAATATACCTCAGGGAACATAGCCTATTTTAGGCATTCTCTTCCTTCAATATCTGCTACCTCAAACACAGCGCCAAATCTACAGAAATTATCAAGTGCTACTGGGAACAAAAGTTATTGTGAAATTGCCAGAAAGAGATTGCAACAGAGGATTGAAGGTATTCTCAAGCTTTTCTAAAAGTTCATGCTTTGTTTGTGTGCACATCAATATGTATAAAACTGGCTCTAAAAGTACTTTATCATTCTAAATATATAAAAGGAGCCTGCAAATTTAGCAGACATACTCAAACCAGAATCTTCACTTTGCTCCACTGACATCCTTACTTGGCACAGGCTGTGGGTAATTAATTTAGTATTTATTGCAGAGGGGAGGGGAGGGGAGGGAAGGAAGGAAGGAAGGGAAGGAAGGAAGGAAGGAAGGAAGGAGAAAACAAACCACATAGATTATACTTGTCTGTTTTCTGCTTCTGGATTTCTCTTTGAGGTAATTCCTTTGTCTTAATCGAATCACAACATAAGTCAAGCCATTATTTTGCCAAAATGAACAATTTTGCTTTGTTTTATAAATTTACATGGTACCTTGAAGGAAAATCCAATACAGAGGAGTTTTAAGAGTAAACATGTATAATTAATTACTAACAGAAACAAGCTACTATCATGGCCTTTCTAATTAAGTATACTCTCCAGGTGTGCTAAAGTAATTTACAGAATGTTCAACTGATATTCTTGGAAGTCATCATAAATAGGAATTTGGGGAAGCAACATTTGGAAGCCACCAGACTGGGAAAAATGCCTTCCCATTGTGTGTGTGTGTGTGTAATGTATAGGTCATCACTGCATTAATTAGCAAGATATTTGCAGATTACATTCATAAAATGGGAAAATAATGGGGAGGGTTGTTTTCTATTCACCAATAACTATAAAAGCTATTTGAATGTGTGCACGTATTCTCAAAATGCCTTGGTTATTTCTCCAGCTTCTTCAGTTTCCTCCTTTTGTGTGTTTAAGCTGCAAGTTCTAAAACAGGACCTGAACTCAGTGCCCTAAAACAGGAATCTTCGCATCTCTTCAGCAAAGACCCTTCAACATGGTCAATTGATGAAGTAATGCAATTTGTAAAAGAAGCAGATCCTCAGACATTAGCACCCCATGCCGAACTCTTCAGGAGACATGTAAGTAAAGTATAAGTTATTTTTAATAGTGCCTAGAATCATATGAAATAAAAACGTTCCAGTATATTCCTGAAATCTAATAGGCTTTTTTCCTCCAAAAAAATATTGAAAGCAGAAAACCACCACTGTAGTTTGCACTAGAAAAGAGTTTTGTGTCAATGTAAGTTCTACTTGATACAGAATTATTCTTAAACTGAAACTTAGTCCTGATGTCCCATGAATTCTTGCCGTGTTTGGGGGAAACTATTATTAATTATACAAAAATATACAGAGAAAAATCTTAGAACAGGAAAACATAACTTGATATGTGTGAAATGTTCTTCTTGCTCTGTAGAAAAAAATTGGTAGGATTAAAATGGATTCCAATTAGTTTACTTATTTGTTAGTTTCTCTTTTCTAAACTGATATCATATGTGAGTAAGGTCACTGGGATAATGTTATAGGGTTAAATAATTTATTAGAACTTCTCTTGATCAGAGACAGGACTGAAAAAAAAGAAAACCAGATTGTCAAATTCCAGATGCTGCTCCCCCATCAGAATCAGAAGTCAGGTGTTCTTCACATTAGAAATGTCAAAGAGGGATATGATGGATGTGGGTCGGGAAGACCTGAGGGTCTGGAGATGTTTCAGGCCATTAATATCTTGACCTTGAAGAAAGGGTTAAATGTTTATCTGTCACCAACATGGAGATGGATTCAGTGTAGTTCTGACAGCTAGTAAAATAAATTATTTAAACAAAAATGAGAATGGAAACAACACAGATTCAGGCTTCTGCAGATTCAAAGCAGACAAATTTGCTTTTCATCTGGTATGTAACCTTTGCTGTTCCTACTTAAAGGTGTTGCAGCATTTATTTATTTAACTATGTCACCTGATTCCCAATGAACCTGGGCAACTCACAACAATCAAAGAAATTATAATTAAACAATTTAAAGAAAACATATGGCAAGTTGAGAAATCAGAGGATATGAAATGAAGGGTCTCGCATTCCCTCCCCAAAGGCTTGGCGAACTTTTTCTTGAGGTTACAACATCTGGACAAGGTCCTAAAACTCCATGTTCTGCATTAAGGAAATGGATGGTGTAACCATACCAGATCCAAAGCTGTTTTGCCAAGTTCAAGTCATAACACTGCGGCTCTTTATAACTGATTCTGTAAATAAATTATAAATTGTAATATACATAATATATAATTATAAATTGTAATTTTTATAATGTAAATTCTGAAGTTGTCCGTGAAAATTTCCAAGATGTTCAGATTTGAATTACTGTTTTTTTCTTGGGGAAAAAATGGTGATAATGTGGGAGAGGGAGAGTTCTGTTGTGTCAGTCTAGAGTAATATTCTTGTTCTGAAATTAGTCATTAATTATTGTCATCTTGTTTCCTCACAGGAAATTGATGGGAAGGCTCTTCTGTTACTGAGGAGTGATATGATAATGAAGTATATGGGTCTGAAACTGGGCCCAGCATTAAAACTGTGTTATCATATAGAAAGACTTAAGCAAGGGAAGTTCTAGGCAGCAAATGCATAGTGATAGTGTTGCATTTCAAGTAGACAACCAGTTAGGTTCAAAAAGAGAACAATAGGACTGAAACTTTGCCTGATGAAATGGATCAAAAAAATCTCACTCAGCTCACAAAGAAATTTCCAGCATATTGTTTCTACTAGTCTAATCAGAAAGAAATATCCCAAATCAGCATTGTTACAGATACTTCTTAAATATGGAATTTAGTGTTAAAAGTTTCACATTGTATTTAATAACTTTTTAAAATAGGCAGGGAGGAAGTAGTACTAAAAGTATTAATATGAGAAGCTGCAAAATACATTCTCACCTCTTCAGCTTCAGCTGATGCGTTTTCATTCAGAACCAAAACAGCTGAATTCCAAAGGATCTTTGTTTTAAAAAAAATCAAATGTGGAGGGTGTTTTTTTGTTTTTTGCAAAAATGGCTGAATTTTTATGCTGGGGTGAGGAAAGTATTCTTTTTAATTGATTAATTCTTTAATTAATATAATCACATACATATCTTATGTGAAGCAGATATCCATAAAAACAATAGCCATATACTTGTATTGTAAGTATATGTTGTGTGCAAAAAACAAATAAGCTCTTTTTTTTTTCAAATTTAAATTATGAAAATACATTTTTACAGCATGTTGACAATTTAAGGAGAAAATTTCTTTTTTAGGAAGGAACTTCTTATGGCTGATCTGAGCAGCCAACTCCCCAATTGAGCAAATAACTTTCTGTTTGCTTACAACAATATAAGAAATATTGTATTGAAACATTCCATCTAGCATAAACCTATGTTCATGCACTTGTATATTTATGTGGTGGGTTCATGCATATGTGTGTGTGTGTGTGTGTGTATGTATGAATATATAAATATATATTTTGTACATAATGTTCAAGTTTTTCTTAAGTGTGTTTTAAAGGTATTTTTGCACTGTGGCAGATAATAAACTGCAGGTTTTTTGTTCATTTTAAATCATAAAGAAAATGTGCATTATACATTTTATATACTTGTTAATGTATCATCAAGCTGTGTCTTTAGGCCAATCAATTCCAATAGACCAGTTTGTTCCAGTAGAACATAGGGTTGAGATTCCCTGGTGGGGACCTGGTGAAGTATGGAAGATAGTTGCCTAAACAGGATTTCCTTTTGCATTCTAAAATATGATGTTATGCCACCAGGAAGGAACAAAATGAAACCTACCATCTTGTGTAGGATCCAGAAAGATTTCAGCATGTGCAGTTTCTAATTAATTGCAAAACTTTACCTTCAGTCCACCTTTCACTGCATGTGAATGGTCTTTGCTGGATGTATGTGTCCTCATACTGTTCATTAATGCCTGTCTGGTTTGTTTCTTATTTCATGGAGGGAAATGGAGAGAAGGGGAAGGGAGAAGAAGAAATAATTGATGGACAGATCCATACAGGGCAAGTTCTGGAACTATGCAATATTCCTAAATTCTCATGTTGCGCTGAACCATTTTATTCTGGGAAAATATCTGGAAAAGAATGGGATAATGAGGGAAAGGTGATGCTGAATGTCTTTTTTTTTACTTTGCCTCTCTAAAGTCTTATATATATAAAAAAGTCAATGAATTCTTTCAACAAAGGAATTGAATTACACTTGGATGTATAATTCATCTGAATCTTGGTGCTGTCTGTAGTTACAACAAGTAAAATACTTTCCCATCACTGCCAATATAATATCAGGGACAATTTATGTACTTTTGCTGAATAGAGGATCAGTTGTTCTGTTTGTCCAAGTGTTGCTAGAAAAGATATAGTCCTGAAAGGAATGTAGTTTTTATATTTCTTACTGCCTTTTTATATGGAAAAAACTTCTAGTTAAAATACATTTGTTGTTTAAAAATGCCTTGTTTATTATATTAGTGTATTAGTAATACACCAATTACTCAGGTTTAGCTAAAAATGGCAAAATTGCAAATTGTTATTGAAGCAATGTATTTCTTTAAATTACTGAAGCTGAATTTAAATGAGATCACTTTGGTGATGTCCTATTTTCTGATGAACTTCTGGCATTCATATTATATCAGCAAACTTTGCTTCTCCTAAGAGTGTACAACAGCTCCAATATATAACTTTCTTTAACTAGTGCAGTTATTTATATATGCTCAGGTATTTAAAAATAAGCTGTAATGGCTGTGATATCTTTCATATCTTTTGATGCCTATTTCTGTCAAAGTTACATAAACACACCTATTTATCTCATTGTGAAACATGATTGCTTGTATTTGGCATATAATTGTGTTTGTGATTTTTAAGGGTGACATATATTATGCCAATGAACTTCCACTGGTACCATGGGAATGCTTTTTGTTCTCCATCTTGCATCTACTGTATGTGCTTCATAAATTTGTTCTGGAGATTTGAAGGGTGTGTTGGCAGTGGAAGAAAACAGTCAAATTTGATACTATATAAGACATTTATTATAGCTTATTTCAGACATGTTGAAGGATGTTTTAAAATTGTATTAAAATGCCAAACTATCTTGCAAGAATCTTTTCCATACTGGATTGCAGACAAAATGTCACAAATGTTATTCCAGGAATTTTATATGTTAAAAGTGGTTATAAAACATAGACACATTATTTTAGACCAGGAGTTTCTCTTTATTCATTTTGCTAATATGTCTTTGAATTGTGCAAATAATGTTTACTACGTCATGTACACAAACTTTTATAAGAAAGAAGAATGCCACTGAAATTTTAACTTTGTATATGACATGATACAAATTATGTTAGGTATATTTTTTCATTTTCAACTGGATGTTCTCATCTAAAAAGAAAATAAAAGCTGCTTGATGTTTACTTCTCAATTATTTTTATTATGTAATGTCTTAAATCTGTAACTGACTAACCTCATAGTTACTAATACACCAATGAAAATATACTTTAATATAAAATACATGGTTTGACGTGGGGGGGCCACACAGCACACACCCCTGCACCCCATTTTTTGCCTCCTGGGCCTCAGGGAAGCCTCCTGGGTGAAGCAGTACAACAGCAAGGGGGGAAATCAGCGGTGACGTGCGATGTAGATCCTGTTTTCTCATCTAATTCACGCGGCACAGCTGATCGGTGGTGGGGAAGGAAATATCTTGATCTTCGGAGCAAACCGGTTCATTCCCACCTGATCTTTGGAGCTACGGGTTCGCCTGAACCAGGCCAAACCAGTAGAATCCCACCCCTGGTGCTTTTTAGTGGGAAAGGTAAATTTCTAAATTCCCCTGTTTGCTGATGAACCGTATGATTAACAAAGATGTAATCAATTGATCATGAAATGGAAACAAAATGATATCAAAATAGTATCTGCTGCCTCCTTGTAGAAACATACTGCATTAGATGTAATCAAGACAATAATAGTTCAGCTAACAGAATTATTTTGCAAATGAAGGCAAATATACATGTCCCAGGATAATTTTGTAGCATCCAATCTGAGTCGGTCACTGGGACCAGAGGTGAACACGGTCCCATTGATCAACTCAGATTGGATTCTGCAGAATTCTTTTGCTACAAACCAATGAAAAGATCAAAGAAAAACAGCTTATTAGACTATCAGTATAACACTAGGGGCAATGAGTGGGTACACAGTGATAGGGATTTGGGAAAACCAACCTACTGAACAATTAAAATATTCAAGGATTTTGGATTGCTAGGCTCAGAATGAAGATGTTATTTAGGTGTCTCATTAGATGTCAAAACTAGATAAACTGCTGCAGGTTCCAAGTTAAAAGCAACTTCTAGTACTGTTGTCATAATTCAAATCATTACTAATTTTTCAGATTATGATATCAAAAAAATTGCTCAGTTAGTTTTGAAAGGTTCTTTATAAGAGAGATTGTATTGCCCAAATGTAAAATGTCCATATAGTTCTGTCCAATTTTTATCTTCCTTATGTTTACATCTTAGATTTATCATAGGAATTCTTGTTAGTGAGCCATTTACCACATACCAAACTATGAAAAAGTTGGTACATAGGGGAAAAATGTGTTCTACTGTGACATTATTTCAAACAAAATAAATCACACAGTAGGTAATTTCATGGAAAAGCAAATAGATGCCTGAATTCAAAATCTGTAGATCAATCTTACACCAGTATTAGGAAAATTGCTGTATCAGTTTTTGCTAAAAACATGAAACATGAAATTTGTATATGCAAGTTGGTCGTATAGCAAATCTGAGTACCTATTATTTGATTCCTCCCCTTCCTACCCAATAAATAAGTGGATTCTCTTTTTCATATTGAGAAGGAATCTAAGACTTCCCAATTCAATGGCTGCAATAATGTGAAACGATTGGAGTGGCACCATGCCAACAAAAATAATATAAATTGATAAATCCTGATGACATTTTATGATGTGAGTGTATTAATGCATGCAATCATCTATAAATAGCACTGTAATTTGATGTGATTTATAGTTTCATTATGTTGGCAGTTGAGCAAGCCTGCACTTATTGTGATAGATAAAAGAAGCAACATACTTATCATTTGTGATCAAAGTTTCTTGCACATGGTTTTGCTTCTTCAACACATTAAAAGGCGCTAAAATCAATTTTATTTTACTGCAAGATTTTGGTTAGTGTATACAAAATAATAAAATCAAAACCTAAGAAACCAGTTAAAATAAACATTTCACAGAAACAAGCATTGCACTAGTTAAAAAAAGATTTTTACCAGAATTTCAAACGTTTCATCAATGCTATTTCACCAATGTTTCAAATCTTATATCATCTTCAAATTAAGATAAGGAAAATGTACAGAACTGCATGTTATCTGCATAGTAATGAAAATTCACTTAATCTCTTGGATGAAATTTCCAATTATGTCATGTAGTTCTTTAAATGCACAAAGAACTCAAACCTGCAGATGTTAGAAGTTAACATACCATGAGCTATGTTCATAATTTCCCAAGTTCCTATCCCACAAGAAGACCTAAAAGGATAGCATAATCAATAGTACTATAACCCATACAGAAATCCAACAGAAATATACACAGTATAAGACCATATCTTTTCTCTATGTGGATTTAGATAGAAAATCAATTGTGGTTACTATTTTCATGTTCAAACCAAGGCAAAAGCCAACCATAGTGAGTCAGCCATAGTTTATCTGCTGATTAGTTTTATTATAACCACATGCAGTAATACTTTACACAGTAATTTTTTTAATATTGATTTTCTAATTATAGTTTAAGGAAGACTTCAAGTCAAAGTGAATGATATCCCTTTTAAGAGTCCTATAATAAAGACTTGGCTCTGACCATTCATTTTCCAGTTAACTTGCTTAAATAAAAGAGAAATATGCTAATATTTTCATTGATCCAGGACCATAGTCATAACCTTGAAGCCATAATCATAGAATGAACAATTGGAGAAAGTTTATCAATAAGTCTAACAATATTCATAATGCTTCATAGATGCAAGATTTAGAAAGATATATTTCTTTCAACTTTCCTGTGACTCCAGATATAAAAGATGGAATTATTCTAAAAACCACCATTAACTCCTTCCAAATACAAAGAATACAAGAAGTAATGTTTGTCTTCCCATTCTAGAATAGTTTTAAAAAATGGATCAGAGTCTTCATAACAAGTAGGATCCATCAGAGGTCATCAACCACTGACTCAGCCATTTACCCATCCATTTCATTACCAGAATTCAAGGTCCTACCTTCAGTCTATATATGTTCAGAAATATTCCTCATTTTAAAAACAAGGTGCATAACTAGAAATATTTCCCCAAATTATTAGGAATCCATAAAGATTTGTAAGCCTCTATGATGCCATGCTTGTATAAGTTAGAGATAAGTGATTAAACCCAGTGTCAGACTTTTACATTTCAAGTTCCACTGTATTACATATTTTGTTATCTTTCAAAAATATCAGAACTATTATCAATATATGGCTCAGGATGCAGTGTGCAATAGAATAAAGCAGAAGTCCCCAGTCTGTGGATCAGTACCAGTCCAAGCATGTCAGAAACTGGGCCGCGCAAACAAATGACCCATCTGTGAGATGCAGGCAGCACATGAAACCATGCCCCCTCTGGTCCACAGAAAAAACTCCATGGAACTGGTCCCTGGAGCCCAAAAAGGTTTGGGGCCACTAGAATAAAGCATAGCATTTTCATTGTAATGTCTGTCATTTGCACAGAAGATGGCATTATTGAGCTATGACTCTAAATTTAATCTTAAATCATAGGAATCCAATACAAGGAATGTTAGAATTTTTTAGCAAGGCACAAATATAGCAAAACAAGATGAGATACCAAAATAGTCTACAGTCTAGTCTTTAAGTCCTAGCTGGGCTCTACAGGCATTCAGACGGACAGCCAAAGTTTGCAAAGATCCAGCCTCCTCCATTTTGTTGCACTAGTTTTTGCAGTACTTTTGGAGATAAATTTTGTTCTTTTCCAGTTCAAAGGAAAGCTTTCTTTCCTTTTTGTTTCTGCTCTTCTACTCTTCAGTCTGGAGTCAAAATAAGATTTTTTTAAAGGGTTAGCAATTGGAACGCAGAGGTGGAGAGTATAGTTTTAGCACCTAATTGGAGCAACGGAGGGGGGAGAATCAAAAGTCTGTCCCTCCCAACTTTTTTTTGTATCTTTGACTGAAGAAATATGGCTTTCTGGGTTGGGAGAGAGGGACGGAGCGAAGGGGTTAAACGAGGAAAAGTTTGGGGGAAGCTTGTGCTGAAGCTACCACCTTTTATGCAAAAGCCCACTTTTCAAAGTCTAGCCAGAGGCAGGAGAGGTTTGCAGCTTCTGATGGCCAGCTGATTGGCATAGAAAGGTCTGAAAGTAAACCGCCATTTCCTCAAGGATTTGTTGGGGCCCTGAAAATGGTGGCTGCTTCCAGGATCTACAGCAGCAGATCCGAGATGTGGAGGAGGAAGAGAGGTGTGTGTGTGTGTGTGTGTGTGTGTGTGTGTGTGTGTACTGCAGCATCCCTGTGGAGGGTAATAATCGTGGGGCCACTGTAGCCATCATAACTTTGAAACAGTGTTGTATGTAGTTTTGTGGTGTCAGTCTTAACTTTGAACCATCATTAAGTGGCCCGTCGTTTCTCCAGGACTACCTCTACATCCTTTTAAGGATTTCTTCTGGACTGACCCTAGTTTTTGCTATAGAAATCATTGCTATAAGATAGTCCTTGAATTACAACAGTTCATTTAGTGACCGTTCAAAGTTACAATGGTATTGAAAAAGTGATTTATGACCATTTTTCACACTTATAACTCTTGCAGCATCCTCCCCCCCATGGTCACATGATTTACATTTGAATGTTTGACAACTGACTCATATTTATGATGGTTACAATGTCCCAAAGTCATGTCTTTTGCAACCATCTGATAAGCAAAGTCAACGGGGAAGCCAGATTCACTTAACAACCATGTTACTAACTTAACTGTAGTGATTCACTTAACAAATATGGTAAGAAAAGTCGTAAAATGGGGCAAAACTTCCTTAACAAATTTCTCACTTAGCAACATAAATTTTGGACTCAATTGTGAATCGTAAGTCGAGGACTGCCTGTACTGGTAATAGAATTTTGTCTCAATAAATATTGCTTAAACTATATCATTAATATACGTGGGGAAGACACCAAGGATGAAAATGGGTAAATAACCCAACAATCTGAAAAATGATACAAATAAATATCAATACACTACCCATAATACAGTTTCAGGTTATGCATTTCATAAAAATATGAAATGCAACAGCCGTGCTAAGACATACAAACATTTATTCTGAAACTTCCATTCTACTTACTGTTCAGAATTACATCATCAAAGCACTTTATGGCAGTGAAAATAACTCTTACTCCTCTGACTTGCTCATTCATTATATTCCATTAAAGCTAAAAATGTGCAATCCACTTGAAAAATATGTTGTTTTTTATTT